AGAACTGAATAATTTTCAAACAGGTTGAATTCAGCACTTGTTGAAATTAATGGGACCGTTTCTGTTGACATCTTCAATGGGCTTTGGATGGTGTAAGTGCTCTCTTTCCCGAGACCAAGCATTATCTTAGTCTTCTGCCTTTCAGTTGTGCTCACTGGTTCCCCTTTCCTCTTTAATACAAAAGTATATCAAGCAGACCAGAAATATACTAAGAAAAAGAATACGAAAGTCATCAAAAGATTGGCAGTTTATTGAGAATGCTATTTGATGGGTTGGGAATATATATTTTACATACCAGGTTAAATGTTCAGGAGGGTAGTTGTTAATCATTTGGGATGGATTTACTCACAATATTTTTTCTAAACTGCCCAGGTACTGATGGCAGGTGTTTATTTTTGCTACCCTGAACTCCAATCCTTCTCTACCATGAACATCTCATCCATATTTTAATTCAATTTCTTCCCATAAGTAGCTGTACTGCAAGGTCAACCTGGCTGCCTTATAGGATGAATGCATTCTGATTTAGTAGTGGACCAGATGAACCTACTATGTTTTGCTAGAGACGCTGACAAAGTACATGTTTATTTCATATATAAGTGTGTCAACTATGGACCGGATAAAAAAAAGATTTGAAGATCATCTTCCCAGTTCAGAATTTATTTAACCCTGAATAAGAAGTGGAATGTTAAATGCAGATTAGGGTATAACTCTGTGGATGTTTGCCTATGTGTGTTGCTGAATGCCTTCACATGTTGACTCGACTTTAAATGCTGTCTTGTAAAACATATTGTAGATCATTCTGCAAGAATAAATTATAGTTGGAACTTTTGCACACATAATTATATTGTTTATAAAGGTTGACTATCAGTCTGGGAGCATATTCATCTCCTGAAGGGAGGTAACCGTGATACAACTAACGTAGTTAGAATTGCAAGGAAAAAAAATAAGAACAAGCAAGCGAAATGGGTAAAAAAGATAAAGAAGATTATTTTTAAGAATACAGATTTATAAAATATAGTAGTAGGCTTTATTATGTTTGTGAAATTAACACCCAGACAAAATCATTTACATAATAAATGGTATGGACAGTTTACAGTTACCAACCAGACAAAACCTTTTTCTTGTCATTGCAAACATTAAATGGAGAATGAGCACATGTTGAAATTGCAATTTATAGACTACCGATACCACTTTTTGCCAACGTGTCTTTCATAGCAGAAAGACGGCAGAGTAAGAAGTTCATTTTGACTATGCTGTTTAATATATGTTGTTTGGTTTTGTTTTGGCTGTTTTTGTTGTTTCTGTCATGAGTATAAATAAATGTGCAAGATGTGATTTTTTTTTTTTTGGAGACTAGTTGCTCTAGCTGAGGTTAGAAAGCAGAAGAACAGGAACAGATTGAGGCAATAAGAAAAAATTGATCTAATTTGAAAATGTCTTCATCTCCAGACAAGAGAAACCTTGTTTCCTTCAGAGGGGGATAGATGTACTCCTACTATTGATTGTGTTCACAAAAATAATGAATGTATCTACCTCCACTACTTTGATGATTATGGGAAATGATTGAAATAAATCGGTAATACTGTTTGTGTTTCAAGAAGCTGAAAATAACACTATGTCACTGACAGAAGTCTCTTATTTCAAAAGTGTACTGTGTTTTCATTAAAAAATAATACTAAACTGACTTGAGCAAGATATTTTAAGTCCAGATGGTTGAAAATCAATGTAACACAGAGTAATTACAACCTAACAATAAATTTTGTGATTTTTTGGGTTCAAGTCTTAGTAATACTGTATTGTGATAGCAGAAGATGAACAGGGCAAACAAAAATGCATAGTTTCTCTGAAGTGTTGAAAATTAAAAGTGTGACTGTCACTATTGTAACTCAAATATAATGGTTAAAACTTAAGACACCTATACAACAGCAGGATAATGGCCCATAGACAGTTTGCAAGGCTAATGTGTTACCAGCACCATTATCTGACCTCAAACAGGCTGTGCATTAAAAAAAAAATGAGTTGACAATGTTTTTTTTAGTTAATGTCTCTTTTATTGTCTTTATAACTAAAAAATTTAGGCTTATTTTGCTTTCATACTGACAGAATCTTCAGCCTTGATTTCTACCTCTACTTTTAATTCTAATTCAATAATTATTTACCAATTAATTGTAATCAAATCTGTACCAGAGAAGCATGATAATCATTGGCATATGATTATTAGTAGTGCTAGTGACTGTGACAACTTTATCATCTTCCTGTTTGCTGTGAATTAGTGTTTTCACTACCTTCAGCTTGGTTGTATTTCTCAAGTGGTGCAGTGGTGTACAATTCTTCTGACACAACCTTTCAAACTTCATTAGTATTCCATTCTAGACTATTTATTTACCAATGTTTCATCATCAGTCCTGTTAACTGTTTCTTTTTTATATCCCTGTCTTCTGACTTTGATTTTGTGACTGTTGATTGTGCTCAGATCAATGATCAAAGGCCTGAACATCAATAGAGTATTATGAAACACTGCATAACTGGGTTAAAATAAAATTTTTAAAAGCAGTCTGTATTTTTTTGTTCCTCCAGCCTTCTCACTCAAAATTATAGAGACTGCAACAAAAAGCCAGGAAAAAAGGCCGCAATGTGTTCAAATGTGCCACATTCACACATGATGAACACCTATTGAGATGTGTTTCTTTTACAGTATCGTAAGCCATTGGTCTTGTACATGTACACATATACACCATACAGCATCTATAGTGAAGTTGTCCACACTTGTTAATTGAATTGATATGACATACATTTTTGGACGCATCTTTCAGCCTTGGAAATTTTAATCAACGTATATCTCTACTTTTGTAGTTATCTGGATACTGGAAAGAAATGTTTTGCTGGCATTACTAGATATCAGGAATTCGTAACTGACTCAATAGTCACTGACCATCAGTGTTTGTTAGACAATTTTCTGCTAAAATTTGTGAAGAAGATTTGACACTGACTTAAGAACATAGTATAATATGCCAGCAAGTTGTGATAAGATATTTAACAGAAAGAGCTAAAATGTTTCAAAACTGAAATCATTATGTACTACACGATTACCTTAAAGACTATGCTTGTCATACTGGCTAGCTTGAGAGAGATTTGTAGTGAATATCAGAAAATACTGTTACCTTCTGCTTCTTTATTAGTGTAGTCAGCATGATATAGGTGATTGACAGGGACTCCTGCAAGTTTGGAATGAAGGTGAAAGGCAAAATACCATTTGATTACCGGACCCTCACAATTTTTTTTCCCAAGTATTCTGTCTCCTCCAGGATAAAAACACTGTATTGGTCCTATCTTTTCAACAAAGTTCTATAAATTCATGATTACTGGTTCTTCTAGTTTCAGTTTAACATTGCTAACTGTAAAATGCTGCAGTTTTATAGAACTGGGTTCAAAGCTTTCAAGAATTAAAAATGAAAGACTACAAGTTGGAAATGCATTACACCTCTATTTGTACTCCAGTGAAGAAGAAACTGAGAAAACTTAATCCAAGTTCCAAACAGAAAATATATAAATAAGTAAAGAAATGCAGAAACACCATCAGAGCTGTTAGAGCTGTTCTGTGGAATGCACAAGTCAGGCAATCCATCCTACATATTTTAAAATACTGGACCCTTGAGCAAGACACTGTGAAAATTCACACCTTGCATTCTAAAGAAATATAAGGTAAATAGGAATACATATTGCTGAGAAAGATATATGAAACAAGACAGCTGGTGATCCTTCCTTACTGTAATGGATTTTAAGGACTATCAATAGTATAGGCCACTCAGAAACTCTTACTAAAAAACCAAACAACAACATATGTAAGAAAATAGATATTTTTGTATATGTATGTGTGTGTGTCTTTCTAGATATGTCTGTATGCAATTTCATCTGTACCTATGTACTGCATTCTGAGGTTATAAAACCCAGTGGAGAACTTTTACATGGAATACATTGTTATAGTGTTGTTGTCTATGCCCAAAGCTTTTGTTTCTTTTAAAACTTGCAATTCCTTTTTCCTGCTGCATTGAAAAACTGAAGAGACCTTTGGCTCCTCCAGACAATCATATTCAAAATTGTAGCCGTTATTTTTTTAAATTTTCTTTTTAGATTTCCTTTTTTATAAGGTCAGCCTAATCATTATTTTACATTGTCTGAACACGTGTCCACTTTACAATACTTATCACCCAGCAGCACAATCATGAGTTTTCCACTTCTAAATCAAGAAAGTGGAAAATAAGCTGATCTATATCCTAGGAAACGTTAGCTAATAAATAAATAAAAGAAAAGAGGTATGACATCAACTGAAAATATAACAGAGACAAAAAGTCAAGACTGAATTAAAACTGTTTATAGTGCATAAAAAAAATAAAAGGGAAAAAATATGGATACTTGGCAAATGAAAAAACATACAGATTTTTGTTGTTTAGTAAAGAGGAAGAAAAAGAGGTGTTCATCAAATTAAAATTGTCTGCTCATTTTTTCATCCTTTTTTTTTAAACATCTTTTCTCAGTTTAATGAAGGAAAACACCTTAAATTTAACACAGTTGGAACTCATCCCTTGTGCTTCACTCTCATTACTTTCTGTGTAAAAGCCAGTCAGGAGACTTAAATGGTCTCATAGAGATACTAGTGGAGGTATCCAGATGGTGACATCTGTTCCAAACTGCTACTAAAATTTTGGCACTGCAGCTGTTTTTAAACAATCTATATATTTTATATGGTATACAAGTTATATGTAATTTTATATTTGTATAATAAGAACACTTTTATTATGCAATCTAAGATCTGGAGTTTGGATATTAACACTACATGACATTTTATGTATGACTAGTACAAAAATAAGCCAGTCCTAATAGTAATCTTGAATATGCGATTGGCAGCTAGTTTTTAGTGAGAAGTAATGTTCAAGCCACAGAGTAAAGACAAAAAATAGTATGGAAAGTCTTTCTTTTAACTGTAGGTTTCATTGCTATTTTAGCCAGTTGGCATTACACAAGAATGAAAGTTTGTGTCCTAGGGAATGTCAGCACTCAGATACTGAATCCAAACTGCAAGACAAGAGGTAGGCTTTCAAAGTAAACATAGTTTCTTGACCAGTTTACATTCCTTTCGCAGATACCCCTTCTGTTTTTGAAATTCCCTGCTCAATTCTGGATGGAGAAAAAATTGCATTACTCAAGACCTACGCATTTTGGTGATTTGCGCTTCTTAGTATTCTTCCTCTAAAGAATACTTTCTCAAACCTCTTACACTTCATTCTCCATGTAGCATCTGAGTATCTCACAATCTTTGAGATATTTATTCTCATAACCCTAAGGGGAAATGGGTTTGTACAGAAAGCCACGTGACTTCTGAGGTTTGTACAAAAGTCAATGGAAAAGAGCGAGCCTGAAAAGGCATTACATTTTCCACCTGTTCCTCCCATTTCAATCATACACTGGTTCTTCCAGTAAATTAAAAAAAAAAAATCTGCTGGTTATAAGCTCAGGAGGCAAACTGATTTTATCCTTAAAAGAAAGCCTTACTTTTTTTTTTTTTTTGTATGAGGGGAAAATAAGAGAATGTGCTGTCTTATTTGGAAGATTTCAGGTCTACAGTTGTCAAAAGAACTGCTTCTCTAATTTGACTTCATTGAAATGTCTTAAGGCACTAGCTGTGTAGTATCTTCACTGTTGTCTCATCTATAGCTTTTACTTCTGTGCTGTGGATCTCTAAAGAAAAGGCTATGATGACTTGTAGACAATAAAGACAGTTTTTTAGTGCTGAACAGAGGAGAAATTTTCCTGCATATTGAAAACAAAAAGAGATTCAAACACATAATTTACGTTGTTTTCTATGGGGTGTTTTATTTGTAATTTTTAAAACTTAAGGGCTGTCTTATTAATCTGTCCTGTGTTGTATCTTGCAAAGCTTTGCATGCACCTTTCTCAGAAAATATAGAATGTAGTGCAATTATACTTTTCTGGAAAAAAGTATGTTAAATCAGTATTCATTAGAACTGGCTTTTGCATTCATGTCTATCTTCTAGGGCCGGTCACAGTGGAAGAAGTAAATTGACAAAGAGGTGGGATAGCGAGGAAGGGACGAGTGGAGGATTCATTCTTGCAGGACTTGAAAATGGGGTACTGGAACAATAGCTGAGTGAACAAAATGGTATGGAAGTGAATGAAGTCTCTGTAAAGAGCTCACTGGCTCTGGCACAATAGGCTGCGAGCACAAGTTCACAGTATTCCCAGTTTGACCAATTTCTCCTCTGCCTCCAGGCTCTATCCCCAAAGACAAGCAGGGGAAGGAGAGAACTAATGAAGAAACTAAAGAAAGACAGACAACAGTATGAGTCAAAAAGAATGATGAGAGTAGAGACAGAAGATGTAGTAACAATAGCTATGATATGATTGTTTCAGCAGAGTAGGTATTTCATCCTATGTTTAAGTGTGTTTGTATGTTACAAGACTCTTGTACTAAGGGTAAAAAAAGAAAAATATTGGCCTTGAACAAAGAGTTAAATCACACATTTTCACTTCCTGATCAGTCAAAAAGTGTTCCTCTTGTTAGCCTTTGGGTCAGTTTCATTTGAAGGACACTGAAATTGATATCAAATAATATGTGTAACCTAGATATTTTGCTTCTGGTTAAAGAAAGTGACAGAAGATTCAGTAATGAAAGACAGTATGTGTAGAAATTCTCGAACTAAATTATTTGTTGTTTGCTTTATATTTTTAATCCTCATTCTGGCTTTGAAGACGCTGGATATAACACATCAATGTGAATGTCTTTTTATGGAATTGATATTTTCCATTAACATATATAACATAATAAATCTCCAAAAAGGTCTTTTAGTTGTTCTGACACATTTTAGCCTTGCCAGAGGAGAAGAGAAGAAATATAGTCCTTTAAAGAAGATGATGTTCATATTACTCATGCAAACCAGTAATGTTAATGTTGCTGGCAGGGTCCTTAAATCAGAATATCATTCTGCTTTTTTTCAAGACCATATTTGCAAGCTGAAATAATCATTGCTGAGATGAGTAATAATTATTACAGATATATTGTGAGAAAATCAGTACTTGAAATAAAGAATAAGAAAAATAAACATGTGAAATGAGAACCAGAGTCTTTTGATACCTTGGTGATGTGCAGGATGGAGAAGTATTCTTCACAGAAATAAATAAAATCACAGGGCCAGGGCCCAGGTAGGAGGTAGTGTAAAGGGTGGACCTGCGTGCTGTGAAGGTTTGCCAGATTGTGATTTCCATGGTTATTGAAGCCATGCTGCAATCAGTGGTCTTGCAGGCATTGGCTAGCAGATGTGCAAAGAGGCAGTGCAGAGATGCACATGAACTCCCTCTACCTGATGGAGAAATTTGTTTAATCTCCAAAGGTGGTCTGCTTACCAGAAAAGGATTTCTCACTAAAACCTTTTTTCCTGTCTCCCATGCCTCATCCCACCTGTCCTGGGGCTGGAGAGCATGCATGCATGCACACAGGTACTGAACCACCATCACACTAAGGTCTATGCCATACTGAACCATTACGGACTCTAGCTCTTTGGAAAGGCCGTTTATCAAAGCACTCTGAATGCCAATTACAAATTGCAGCTTTTCCTCTGGATGCCCCAACAGTTCTTGAAAAGAAGACAATAGAATGAAAGCAGAGGTCAGTCTGAAGGTTTGGTTTGGGGACTTGAGGAGAGAAATAGTATTATTTTCCGGAATAGAATCACAGACAGGATAAACCATTTGGGCAAGATCAATACCATACACACTTTGATATAAATTGATTGAAAAGCTCAGCTTTCAACATGGCAGATAAGTTTTAACCCTGAGCTGGAGTAGGAATCTCACTATTAGTAAAGCAAATCTTCCCTGCTAGACAGTCCACATTCCTGAATAAACCTTCCTTATTGACAGGCCCAGAGCATCTGGTTGTGTTCCACAGTTTTTGAATAATGTAGAAATTAATCTTTGGAAAAAAAGTGCTAAACTCACTTATGAAGCAATGGTTTCACTTGTGCAGAAGCAAACTATCAGTTGAGGTGGAAAATATGTCATGAAGGACCTGTACAAATGACCGTATGTGCCTTTTCCAGAAATTGTCAAATGCATTCCTGTTGCCTAATAAATAGGATAGAGCTCTTTAATCAGGGAACACTTCAAAGTTTCCCAAACCTAATCTTTCAGTTCCAGACAAATTGAAGAACATATAAGTGATGTCTGTCACAGTAAGATACTGTTGTACAGCACTGTGATCCTTGCAGAGTTGTATGATTTGCACAGTTGTTCAAAACTTAGTTCTGTTTGAGCGTTGCTGCATTGTAGCCTGATCCTGGCCAGCTCCTTAAGCCTTGTCATGAGCGCAGTTTTACATGCTCACTGCAGTTTTACACCTTCATTTCCTGTTGTTAATAACAACAATTTTCAAAAATAAGTGGTCCCAGGCGATTGTAAGTAATCCTTTTAAAGGAGAGAGATCTAGTTTCTTTGCTTGGCATGTTTGCTACTGTGAACCCCTTGGAAAACCTCAATTAGGATTTACATCTTCTGATGCTTTTAGCTTCAAATGGGACCTGACTGCAGCCCATCATCATAGCAGGCTATGAAATTATGATACCATGTTTACCTGGACAATTACCGTTTTGATCACCAGTTCCTTGTGTTGCAGAGTCTTTCTGCCCTTGACTTACCAGTGTTGAAGTGTTTCCTTCTCGCAGGATCTGTGCTGCTGTGAACTCAAGGGTTAATTGATTCTCCAGAACTGTTACAGCATAAACAGATGCACATACTGACCCTCATCAAATTGCTGATCTCAACTGTTTATTTTCAAAATCAGGGAAAATATAGTTATGTTTTCCAAGGTATGGAAATATAAAAAAGAAATATGAAATCTTCATATAGAAATATGAAAAGGTTATTTATAAAATTACAGGAAAAACAGGAGAAGAAAAAGGCCACCATGCAACAAAGTTGCAGTCAACGAAACAGCATTATGACTCAGAGCTAAATTAATGCCTTTCTCCAATTATGTAAGTTATGGTGAGCAGAGGAACAAAAAAAAAAAGACAATAGCTAGAAAATACTTACATGGACAAATTAAAGTAAAACTTAGCGCAATTAATGTGCTTAAGTTAAAACAATGTAAATATTCCTCAAAGAGAAAAATAATGGCAAATTAAACCATGTATATGATAAATAATTAAAATTAAAAAAACTCATACAAGTCAGGGATCGTACTCTCAGACTGAAAAAAACCAAACCCTGGATATTTTGCTTAAGGAAAAACATATTTTATATATGCCCTTACCATTATACAGGACTTTAAAATGATGCTTGAAAGAAAGAATAGTTAATGGCTTGGGAGTAAATGAGCTGGAAAGCAACATAAGCTTGCCTAAACAGATCCAGTGTAACCTGACATTGTTACTGATAACCGGTGTTCCAGCCTTAGACAGAATGTCTACTCTTTTGGGACTGCTGTACAGTGTTTTAAGACCTCATGGGAAATCACTAGCAAAGGTAAAGAATTTAGGAGTTGGTATAAAGTAAATTTGAAGCAACCACAGAAATAATTAATTGAGTAATGAGTCTAGTGGCAGGAGACGTCACAGGTTACAGGGTGGTTGCTCATAGAGAGGGACTGTTTTTGTAAGATACACCTAAAAATATTTTAGTTTTTAATTTGGTTGAATTAAATATTTAAATTTACAACGTTAGAAGGAAAAAAAGAAAGATAGATGTGTGCTAACAAAATTTTCTCATCATAGAACCTGAAAACCATTGCAAACATAGAGGTAGAACTGGAATATTTTAGGACCTTAAGAATTGAAGTAATAAAAAAGGGAATTATATAATTATATAAAGTGCAGTTATCCATTTAAGGACTAATGAGAAGAGCATCTGTTATACCACAGCACTTTACAGGTTTGAAATTAAGGTGAAAGGAAACTGCAATGCTTGGAATTCAGTTTTTGAATGTTTTTGAGTTATCATTGTGATGAGACATGGAAATGGTAAATACAGTTCTTAGGCATTTGGGAGAGGCCTTTCTGTAAAGAAAATAGAGTCTTGAAGATGTTCAAAGCACTGATCAGACCTCTGGAAAATTGTGTAAAATTCTACCCACCTCCCTTCAAAAGGTATCAGTTTCAAAATAGAATTGATGAAGAAAGTGTCCACTAAAATAAAAAGAGAATGGAAAGTCCATCCCTTGGGACAACTTTAAAAGAACATTGCTTGTTTGTCATAGAAAACAAAAAACTGAGGGTGGATATGATTTATTTCTGTGCACTGAGGGAAAAGCACTAGAAAGGAAAGATCTTTTGAAGCTTAAAGGGCAGCACTGACTTAAAAGTAAATACATATAAACAGGCCATGAGTAAAGTTACTCTGTAAATGTAGAGACCCCTCAGAAAATTGAAAGGGAAATCATATCTGAAGAGAAAATGCCAGTGATTCACCAAGAAATTGAAAGGAGGTACCCAGTGCAGTTTAAATTAAGATTATATGATTTAATTGTCTGTGATCACACAGGAGTGTAGACAGTGACCCAAGAAGTCTTTTATTCCTGTGTTTCTCATTACTCATGTGATATAAATTAGTATGAAGCCCCTTGAGCTTTTCTGTGCTAATTAACTGTGCTCCAATGTTACACATTTTTCAGCAAAACACCACTGCATTTTAGGTAATTACGTTCAGCAAATCTTGCTGCAATGAGTACCGGCATCTGGGACTCTTTCCTTGTGACATTTCTCCTATACTCTAGACTTTAAAAACACTTTTGAAAAGCCATGTTTCTCCAATACACATGGGTTTTTTAAGAAGAACGTAAGCACATATTCAGGGAGGCTGACCTCTGTAGAAATAATCATACTATAATATCATTGTAGGTGATAAATGCTAAAAATATTATTCTAAAAACCTTCATCGTGTATATAATGTAATTACTTTTGGTCTCATATTTATTATGAACTGCATAAATATCTTTTTATAAGTATTGTTACATTTGCTTCACAATGTTGCTTCTAATTTTGTTACAGGGTTGTTTTTATTCATTATACTTGCCAAGAAAAACATTTTGAAATAATGTCGCTTTTTATTTTCAAAAATACCAAATTTCCTTTCAAGCAGAGAGAAAGCTGGCTACAGTCATATAAAGTACAAAAGGCAGCTAACACTCAAACCAAGCAAAAGAGGTTTTAATTTTGCTTCTTTTCAAAATCTGGCCATAGGGCACAGGGGTGCACCTGGTCACTGCATTTCACAAGAGGAAGCTGGTCAGAAAATGCTCTTATTCTGCCTCTCAGAGCAGGGAGATCAATATTGCCATTTAATGCAAACTTATGGGTTCAAGGTTTTAGAGCCCAGAGCTGAAGCTGCTGTTTCATCATGGCATTAGAAACTGGAAGCATAACAAATAATTTTTTCACACATACAGAGTTAGAGTCATGACATTCTCTTTCTATCCCCATTTAAGGCAAAGACAAGAAAGCGGGAGACAGGGCTGAGTGTCTGGTTTCTGCAGTGGACAACATGTTCTGATCCACAGATATGCTAGGTAGACAGTGCTTCATCCCATTAATTTTTTTTTTCTGGTTTGGGACTGTGACTGCTCTCTTCTATTTCAGGTTCACTCAGAGTAGTTAGTTCTGCATGTTGCTTCAGCATAAGTGGTGAATATTAAATTAAATCCCAGGCTGTGTATGTATGTACTTCACTGCACAGCACAGGGAAGGATGCAGCACTGAACACAGCAAGTGTGCAAGGCACCAAACAGAAAGCACTGTGTAATTTCCTGGCATGCATATCTGACAGTGGTTTGCTCTTGATGAAATGGCTAATTGGACACATGGAAAAGTAAAATCGGATTATAAGCATCCGACTCCAAGAGATGAGCTTGCTCAGAATAGAAAAATGCCTGCTGTTTTTCTAGAATGCTCTGATTAAATTGCTAAGACTGAAAATGTGCATATTAAGAACTTTATGGTTCCCTCAAAATGCCTGGCTCAGTGAAAGAAGGGCCTGAGCAAAACATTGTAACTGCAGTTTTTAAAAAACTCTGCTTTTATAAACAGGGAAGAATCATAACACTTTTCTTTGGAAAGGCAGGCTGGCAGCTGTAAGAAGCCAGATCTTGCTAGCTTTACTAATGTTAATAGTGCCATTAAAATCAGTGTAACTAATTGTGTGAGTAGGACAATCAAGATCTGACCCATACCCCTGCTTTGTAAACTTCAGGATCACAGAGATTAATATACTACTGACTAGCCAATGACATGTTAAAGACTAATTTAAATTAATATGTTTGGAAGGCTTTTCCTTTAAAATCTAAAACAAATGATTCAAGTGAAATGTGAGATGTAGGGGATATAGAGAAAATCAATAAACCAGCAGAATGGATATGGAAATAACTTCTTTATGTTTTCTTGTTTTTGTAGTTTATAGTTAGCACCAATGCATAAATGTAACAGTTATGTGCAAGGGAAGAAATCTAAATCCAAACCTAGAGAGTGGTTGTGACTAGCTACCATCTCATTGATGAATCCTCCATTCTTCTATGAAAGGTTAGATTTCTTTTTAGATACTACTGATTAAAAATGCTACTATGTGAAGATTGGTTAGCAAGTGTTTTGGGATTTTATTGTTTGTTTTCATGTTTTCTACATTATCTTTATATTTTTCATTTTGTAACTAACAATTTTCCAAAAATAGAGTTCACTGATCCTCATGAATTTTCATCTAATATTGCTTTTTGTAGGGATGAGAGGTATTTTTAAAATATATACTGAAAATCATTTAAATATCAGGTTATTTGGGTTTCCTATAAGGACTTTAGGGTGCCTTGAATTTTTATGATTTATAATATGCTTTAAATTGTCATTCTGCAATCTTCGCAATACTGGTGTATAATAAGGAAATTCAGGTCTATCTCAAAAGCATTAATTGATTAGGGATGCATTTTTAGTCATATATGAACCTATGCAGGGTGTCTGTACATTTAAATGCCATGGGAGCGTGGTACTTAAAAGAGTTTCAGAGATCATTCCAGTATGTGGCTACCGATAAATGACTGCATAAAGTTGTGCTAGGACCAGTGAGATTGGGCCATTCCTCATAATTTCAGAATAGAAAACAGCAATTGGGAAATGCACAAGCAAGACAAGTATATATAACTTGGTGCAGACTACAAATGTCTCCTCTCATCCATAGTTTTCTTGATTTTCATCTGTAAACTAAGAGACTGTGTACATCATATGGGTACACAGAGCTCTGAGAAGTAAGTGAAGAGGAAGGAAAGGGTTTGGTTGGGAGAAGTGGGGATTGGGTGAAAAACAAATCCATCATACAGCCTCCTCAACTGTAAATTGAGGTTGAATGGTCTAGATCTCTCACAGCTTCCTTTTAGCCTCTGGCAGGAAGAAATCTATCTGAGTGTGAGGGCAGGTTCATAGGAAGTCTTGCTGTCATGCAAGTGCAGTGCAAAATTATGTATGTAATGCAAAAGTATGAATGTACTGATGCAGAAAAATTGTTGATTAATAATAAGCAATACTACCAGGCCTGTTTACTGAGCTGCAATTAACAGTGAGGATGCTGAAGAGCAGGGGCATGGCTATCTGTAGGATCAAAAAATGTGTGTGATAGTTAAACGTAGTCAGTAGGGTTGTCATGGGGAGAATATGCTTCAGTCTGCCAACAGCTTATCCTCATTTGCTTATTTCTAATCACATGGGAAAATGTTTCAGCCATAGCTACAGCACAGATCTTTGCAGTCTCCGTTTTTCAACATTTCTGTGGGAAATCTCCATAGTGAGGGCCTGGAAGGATCATAACCTGGAACAGGAAGATTAGGCACTCAGTGAACCTGAGAAGGGACCCTACATTTATGTTCTGAACCCGCTAATGGAGACTTAGGAATAAGGTAATTGTGTGAAAAAATAATTATGTTAAAATGGAGTGTCTAAGTGAGCTAATTAACTAGTTGCGACAGAGATTTTATTCTAAACAGGAGCGGGTAAGGCAGTTCTTTTAAGTGTAAAGAATGTGCTAAGTATAGATTAGAAGTAGGAACTTCTGCAGTAAATTTAGCTTGCTTCACTAAATCCAAACATCAAAATCTTCTCATAGGCATTCAGTTTGATAGTTATTGATTCTTATTTTTCTCCATGTTTTAATTCCATATAGAGCCCATAAAGAATTGTATAAGGACAAGTAGAGATCCTCATTTGGTGAGCTGACTGAAATTACTGAAGCCATGTCTGCAGGCATCATCTGAAACCTTGGCCTACAGGATCCTTCATCTGGAAAGATATAAGACACTGTTTATAAATCCCCTGGCATATTTTTCTGGTCTCTGATTAAACTAGTATGCATGTGCTTCTGATATAAATATTCACATTAAATTAAAAATCTGTGGTTTGAAATTCTGGAGTTCAAATTATGAATACAAAACTCAGTTGCATAGACAGTGGTGAAACATATCAAAAAGGAATGCAAACTTAAGGAAAGAGCACATAATTGCTACTATGAGCACACATATATACTGACTGTTGTTCCTGAAGAAGAGGCAAAAGTAACTAAAATGAAAAAGAAAGAGGAAATCAGTTTACACAACAGTAGTGCCAGAAGTGCTGGGACTAGTGGAAAAAAGGATGACTAATCTTGCAAATAAGTGTCACTTTTCTAGATATGTAAAGTTGGAAAGTAATTGGAATCTATGGAATATAGACAACTGAAAAAATTTTACAGTTGCAGTCCTTACCCGACAGAGTGGGAATTTTGCCATAGCTTAATTGGGGCTGACATTTTATATGGTTCTTTATCACTAACAATTCAGGGATCTGATCCACAAGTGCTTGCACCACTTGGAGTTTTTCCATTGCTTTCACAGATCTTTGGATCAGACTCATGCTGCGGATGCATCATTCTTCTTTCTGAGGGGTAATTTCATATATAGTTGTCAGAGCTATCAGAAGAGCCTCAGGCAAGGTTGGGAAAGAACATCTACATCTGGGCAGAGATCTTGAGATGTGAGCAGGACAACGATTTTAAATCTGGTCCTAAAATCTGAAAAAACTTATTCCTTTATTGCTAACTTGTAACAGCCAGCTTGGCTAGAAAAAGTAAAACTATTTCCTGTCCATGGATCCAGCTGAAGAACTTTTGCATCAGCTGTATCCTTATAATATCTATGAGGTTAAATGTGGAGGGTTCCTACTTTCCTTTAATATAAGGAGCATATATAATCCATATGCAAGCATTGTTTTTGTAAGTCACTGAGCTGTAAGATTCACTGAGTTCAGTTGTTTATTTAAACATGTTGAACATGAAGTATCAGCATAATCCCCTTGACCTCTGAGAGGGTTTTCACCTGTTGTGTAGAGCTCAGACTTTCGCTGGCATTAGGACAAGGGAGTTCATTAACTCCCAAGACAGAAACCATATACTCAATCTGACTAAATGAAGAGTATTACTAGTAAATTTTAGACTTTAAATGTTTGGTTATCCTGTAAAAAAATAGAACACTTCTCTATGAGTCTGATTGTTGGATTGAGCAATTTGATTCTTTTTAGGACTAGAGAATAAATGCTGCTACTAGCCAAGAAAAAGTAATGTAACAGCTATTATTGCATACTGTCATTGTTGCTCTCCTAGTACACCGTGAACACCTGCATTTTTCTGTTGTGACTTCACATAGATAAAAGATGTCAAAAGAATCTGTCTGATTTTATACAATGAAGTGACTTCTAAAATTTATTAACACCTTACAATATTTATCATCAAAATATGTTCTAGCTAGTGTCATCTAACTAGATTAATTCACAAAGATAACATCTAAAAAATTCTTTTAATTGCTGTTGAGAGAAAAAAATTTGTTTAGTTTCTGGTGTCTTCAAGTGCTGCCCATCTTTCTGTAGTTGTATAACACTATCACTATTCACTATTCTGTCTATTCTTGCATAGAGAATTGAAACATCACTTGAGTTTTCTCTGCGGATAGATTAACAAGATCTGCTGTGACATGAGTTGATTAATTAATGAGACTACAGTATTCTTTGGACCTGGTGTGCTGTTCTTGAATTTCTGAGATGGGAAAATTCTAACCTTCAATATTTTAGAAGCAAACTGGGTAAAGCAAAACTCTTGTATGACCTTCACTAATAATAAAACTGGAAATCCATTATAAAGGGTACCTGAATAGCTGTACATATTCAAGATGATTTTTTTCATATTTGAAGAATGAAAGTGCACACAGATAAAGTAAAGTACAGAAAAATATTACATCGACTGTTTAAAATGTAATTAGATGCCTCTTTATTTTTCTTTCAGCAATCTTCTACAAAAAGAAATAGCTCTTGTAAGTGCTGCACTGCAAAAGTCATTTCACTCTGTGTACACACCCCTAAGGAAATAGGGAAGGTTCTCAAAGGACAAATACCAGATGAAAGCTAGCATATCCCATCCATTGACCCTACTTTAGAAATTTCTCATCCACGGTTGAGTACCAGGCTGCATAAGGAAGTGTCAAGAAGCATGTCTGTGATACACTCTTGAGATACACATTATAATGCTGCTAGGTCTACCTGTCTCACCAAGAGACTGAGATTAGTCTAAGACAATAAAATTCCTTCCATTTTATAGATGACTTAAGGCTATCTTCAAGCATAGTTGGCAGAAATAATAAGGATCTGGGTTTAGAGACCTGACAATGCTGTAAATTGAATTGTTTGTTTAGCACAGTTGGTTTTGTCATCAGGTCAACATTTTAGTGAAGGCTCTCAGGGTCTACAGTTTGCATGTCGGTGCTAAATGTGCCAGATAGTTTTTCACTTTCTGTTTCCTTCTTGCCCCCATCAAAGAAATCCTTTGCGAATCAAAACTTGTGCACCTTACTATTTATACTCTTATCAATAAATTGATACTCAGTATGTGAGTGTCAATGTTAAAAATTTCCTGTGCAGTGAAAAGCAGAGTTGAAAATTAGTTTTTTTTATCTAATAAAACAGGGATCACAATGATGCTTTTGTATACAAAGAAAGGCAATAGCTCTGCAATGTACATTTCCCCCTTGGATATACTTTGAAAAAAGTTAATAAGGTTAATATCGTGTATGTCAGCTGGTTTTGCCTTCATAGATGCCAGATAGCATTAGCAAAGAGAAGCAGATGTAAGTTTTTTAGCTAATATTATTAGACCTCTTCCCTCCTACATGCCAGCATGAGATTCGCATTAATGAAATTAGACTTGAACACATCCAACAGTCCTAAGTCAGTAGTAGAGATAGGAAATAATTTATTGTAGGTGACAGAGAACAGCTATAGAATACAAACTATGTCTAGTGAGATGGGAAAAATGAATTACTAGCAACTGACGGACACCAGTGCTACTGATCTCAGAAGGATAATGTCACTGGCAGACCTAAGTGTATGAGTGCACATTACATAGACCTGTTGAAATGAGTCAGATCCTCCATAATGTCATGGAAAATCTGAAGTTACCTTAGCCCATCTTAATTTTGGAATATGAGAGTCATGCATCACTGCTACCTGATTTTGATATCCCTGATTAGATAAATAGACCCACATCACGGACATAAATGGTCCCACAATAAACAGTGTTTCACATAGGCTGGACAAGTACTGTTAAAGTTATTAAATGTTTCTCTTTAAAACTTACTTTCATCTGAAAAACTTGCAAGCATTTATATGCAATTTTCCTTTCTCAATAAGGATTTGGTTGAATTTGGTGTAAATATTCATTACAATGTCTCGAGCTTATAGAAAGAGGCATGACAAGACAGTAGCCTTATAAGAAATACTTTTCTCAATATTTTTGTATTGTTCATTTAAAGAGCAAATCCTGTCCTTTTCTATTAAATGTTTTAAGGATCAAATGTTCTGAGCTAGAGAAGTGTTGTTAAATCAGGCATGACCATGTTGTTACCCCAAGAAAATCTACCCGAGCTTAAAAGAAAAAAATTAGTTTAGATGTGATTAGTGGTATAACTTTTAACTATAAAATTTCTCTAAGTTTGCATATGCTTAAACCTTGTATTCAAAAAGATTTCCATTGAAACACACCTGTGCCTTTTCTGTCCCATTATAATTTTGAACATCTGCATTGAAATCTCCATCACTTTTAACCTCAGCAGATCTTCCCACTGGACAGAAGGACAAAGCAGACTGAGGTAAGAAAGCTGCAAGAGGGTAAAGGTGGTGATCAGAAACTTGGGGAGGGAGAGACAGAAAAACACAGTAGTAAAAATGGGTGGAGAGAAAGCTAGGACTTAAAATGGGCAAAGTCTGAAATTATCTGCTAAAGTTGAGACAAAAGTGGAGGCTGGGAAAGAGAGTAAAGAATTTCCAAGGTGAAGGGGTAGAGATAAAGAAAAATGATGCAAGGAAGAGACAAGTTTTTTTCTTTTCTTAATCGAAGAACATAACTTTTTAGAGTGAGAATAGAAAAACTATGAATCTCACAACTTTCTTGCTCTCAGGGAAAAAAAGAATTGTAAAGCCTGCTGGCAAATAAATATAAAAATTACCTACTTTCTCCTAATGCTCAGAGGGGATGAATTGCACTCAGTCTTTAAAAATGCCACATTAAGCACAGTTTCACATTATCTGTTTCTATGTAAATATGAGTGTATGATAACATTATTTGTACTTGCCTCATTTAGAGCATGATATATGTATATACATATATATTTGTATGTATGTATATATATGTATATATATATATATATACACAGTCTGATCTCAGGAGAGGAAGTGATGTTAGTCCGGCTTCACAGGACTTAAGAAGAGTCACCAGTTGCTTTAATAGAGTGCCCACTGGTCTCAGAACCGAACCTTGGATTAGGTAAACAGAAGATAAATGCTATACAGTTGCTCGCAACTGTGAAAAGTGTAATGTCAGGATTCTTGATGAATAAGCTGGGCTGACGTTTTGTTCACCTCAGGAGATGAGCAGTAAATTTTTACTGCACCAAGTTGTCCATCCAAAATGTCTCTCCCTCAGAGAAGAGTCAGCAGAGTAAAACATCTGCTCCTGCCTCAGCCATTGTCATTCATAGTGCAGTGATTTTGAATAGATTGCTGAGGAAGGTGGGCATTGTCATAAATGTGTCTGGGCTGCTGAGATACTAGCAGACACTCAGTTCTACTGAGTCTGTTTTGGGGATGGAAACCTACAATAGGGTAGGAAGGAAGGCAGAAGGCATAATGTTTTGGTCAGTGTCTACAGTCCAGCAAGCCTTGCATTTTACCTGTTGTTAGAGGCAATCTCTATGCCACAGCAGATAGCTGTTCAGGACTTCCTTAAAG